CATGCAAGGCAAGCGCTCTACCACTGAGCCACCTTCCCAGCCCCATAAATATTATTTTCTATTTGAGTGTATTTTCTTAAATAATAACAAAATTTATGAAAATAATTTTATGTGAAAGACAAGCAAAAGAACAACAACCACATTCAAGTCCTTGATGTAAGTAAATCCCAGTTGGTAACATCAAGGATGTTGACATTGGAGGACTGGATGGCGACCAAGTGATTGCTTTAAACTATAAATCAAGTGTGTGTGTGTGTGTGTGTATGCAAATAAGCCAGAAAACCACTTTTATTAAATAGTACCTAAACTTAGAATGAGAAGTATGGAATGTGAAAAAAATAAGTGCATATATTTTTAGTTATTTTAGAAAAAATAGACTCAGCATCAGATTAAGAATTTTTAGCTTACTCATTTTTTACTGCTTTCTAAAAAGAAAATCAACCATGATTTCCTCTCCCAAAGTCTTCATGACAGTGTGTTTTATTCACCAAGTATACCTTTCAAATTCTCTCTGCTTTTCTAGTAGAAATACAACATTTTAATTTCTTGAAATTCACATGAAAACAGCATCTAGAAACCAAGAAAAACAGGAGTGACTGACTTGTCTTAGTATCCTCCTGCCCTTGCTTATTTATTATCAAATAACATAAGCCAAGGATATATCCAGAGAAATCTTGTAATTTTATTCAAGTTTATGTCAAGAGAGAAGTCATGTGTTTCCATTTCCCAATATTCAGCTTTCTACATGCCTTCTACCTAACTCGAGTTTCTGCTACTGTCCACTGGTTTGTCTCCTGATAGTGTCCACAAATCTGTCCATAGCTTTTACTGTCATTCCTCAACTATTCATAGAAGTTGAGTTTAATTTAGACACTGTATTTGAGCTTTTGTGAGCCTTTAAGGAGATTACTAATTTATTTGAGCCTTGGAATCATGCTCTCTTTTTCTCTCTGCACACACACAGAATAATGTAGTTAGTACTGTTTGATTTCTACAAGACAAATAGAACACAGCTCACAGAAGAAATTTTAGTACATTGTATTTACAATAATAATAATAATAATCTATGTACTTAATAATCTATGCAGAAACATCTGAACTATGAAACACTGGCATTTGAAGGTAGCATTTTCCTGCACCGTGAAAACATAAAGACAAAAGCAGTGTTTGATTTGTAGTTCATTCAAAGCATCAAATGACTGTCTTGCTCAGTGCCATAATCTAACTGGTATTTCTTTATTGAAACAATTGAAGAATAGTTTTTAAGGATAACTTGATGATGACAATGGAAATAATTTTATTATTTCCATTAGAAGCACATTAATTGAGCAAGACTCGCTCATTACTGTAATTACAGTCAGAGAGTGATTTTATTTCAGTCAAAGCCTTCTCCTGGTCAAGTTTGCCATCTCTGTTCCTCAAGCTGCAGATTAAGGAGTTCATCATGGGTGCCACAGTGGTATAAAACACGGAGGAGATTTTTGATTCATCCATGGACCCAGCTGAGGAGGGTCTGAGATACATAAAGGCACCTGACCAAAGAACAGAGACACAGCAGTGATGTGGGAGCTGCAGGTGCTGACGGCTTTGGACCTGCCCTCAGTGGACTTTATTTTGAGGATGCTGGAAAGAATGAAAGCTTAAGAGATAAAGATAACAGACTGGGTACAATGATGTCTTTGCCTCTACAATGAAAATCTCTATCTGATTGACATAGGTGTTGGTACAAGAGAGCTGTAGCAAAGGAAGGAGATCATAGAAAAAGGGGTGAATGGTGTTTATATCACAGAAAGTGTCAGAATGTGTCCAGTGTGAGCCATGGCACCAAACAAAGCCACTACCTAGGAACCAAGAACAAGGCAGGAGCACACTTTTTG